TTCTTCATTCTCCCGTCTATGTCCGCGCCCATCAGCTGCAGCCACTTCCCGTCTATGTGCACTCACTACAGCGTCAGCCACTTCCCGTCTATGTGCACTCACTACATCATCAGCCACTTCCCGCCTATGTGCACTCACTACAGCATCAGCCACTTCCCGTCTATGTGCACTCACTACATCGTCAGCCACTTCCCGTCTATGTGCACTCACTACAGCGTTAGCCACTTCCCGTCTATGTGCACTCACTACATCATCAGCCACTTCCTGTCTATGTGCACTCACTACAGCGTTAGCCACTTCCCGTCTATGTGCACTCACTACATCATCAGCCACCTCCCGTCTATGTGCACTCACTACAGCGTTAGCCACTTCCCGTCTATGTGCACTCACTACATCATCAGCCACTTCCTGTCTATGTGCACTCACTACATCATCAGCCACTTCCTGTCTATGTGCACAAACAACAGCATCAACTACACATTATTGCCCCCGATTACTGATCGTGACAACAGTGGACCGCTTGTGCAAAGTATGCCGACACGGCCAGTTGTAGTCTTCATCATGGTGGAATGCGACATGGTGACAACATCAAACACAATTAGGAGACAGAGGTCACCCTATAACATGAAGTGCCTGAACAAGGACCTTCATAGCAGGATTACCAGGGATTATTTTCATGAAAACTGCAGAATTAAAAAGACATTAAAGCTTATATGAATCAGCAATTGGGTCCAGATCTACTTGAAAACTTCATCCTTCATCTAAAAAGTCATAAGAATAAACATGACTGGCTCAGGTCATCAAAACTAACATTCCTGCAGGTTTCCACTTCCCCGGGTATACCTGGAAGGGAAACAAACACGTGTACTTCACACAAAGAAGAGAGACAAACAAACACAGGTGACTCCGTGTTCCCAGAAATTCGCAAAGCAAACATATCTCTCCTGAGTAAGCAAATAAAAGCAACAATATATATATATATAGTATCCAAGTGTCCAATTAGCTTCTTAAATTTGACTCCGAGCACAGAATGGTTCAGGCCAGGTTCACACTTGCGCGATCTGCGACAGCGCAGCAATCATGCCGTGCGGTCACGGAGTGGCACAGCACTGATCGCGCTGGTGGTGCCATTCGTTTCTAATGGCACCCCAGTCGCGACAGGCACTCGCGTGGGATTCTGCCCGTGGACTTGAACACGTTCACGGCTAAAGAAGACGCGCGTCATGTGTCGCAAAACAAGGCACATGTACGTTTTTTCAGAGATTGCCGCGCAGATGTTACCCCATTGAAATCAATAGGGCCACGCGACAACTTCTGTGTGCACCCACACACAATCACGCAGTCCCAGGACACGCGTCCCGGGATCACCCAGGTCTGCACCAGCCCTCAACTATATTCATCGGTATCCACTAAGGATATAAATCCTCTGTGTGTTCCAAGTGCATTTACTAACCCAGGCATTACCTTGTAAAAGTAGTAGTGACATCATCGCTGTGCTGCACATCATCAGTCTGTGCAGACAGCAGAGCTGTTGGAGGAACCCAGCAACTGCACCCACTACATTAGGGGTGGGCAACTGCAGACCTCCAGCTGTTTTGTGGAACTACAAGTCCCATGAGCCACTGCAAGACTGACAGTTATAGGCATGACTTGCAGAGACATGTTGGGATTTGTAGTTAAAACTCAGCTGGAGGTCCCAAGTTGTCCACTACTGCACTACAGGCCGCCTGCAAAAAATTACCGGAGGGGGAGGATACAAGACCAGTCACCCTGCACAAGGAGAGAGAGCAGCAGTGAGCGGTCTTTATTACAAGAAGCTTCAAGTACCACGCTGAATTACTGCACAGATCTGGAAGCAATGCACAAAGCTCCCCAAGATAATAAGAATACACACCACTCTTATCCCGGGGTCCAGCTTTACATAAATGTGCCAATTATACAAAAGGCCAACGTGTGATACAATATTTTGCCCACAGCAATCAGATCCGTTCATTCTAGAACTAGTACTCCAAAGTGGGGGATCTACATATCTGATAACACCGGGCTGATTACTGCATGTCAAAGAAAGCCAACTATGACCAGGTTTATACAAAAGCCTGAAGACCGTCACCACAGGTCCATTTATAAAAGGCCAGTCCTGTAAGAGAGACCCATCTATACTTATGTTTGTAGTGGCCTGTGTCTTCAAACGCTGCTGCTTCACTGCTCGCCAGCTTGTGCATCACTACAGGATGTGCGGGTCAATGGAGGAACCACTGCATGCTGCAGGTGGGACCTTCTGGAAGGCTTAAATACCCATAGCGGCTGGGGAGCATCGTTTCAAGACATGGGCCACTGGAAAGGCAAGTAGACAGACTTTTTTACAAAGCAGACCTTTTATTATTCTGGTGATCCTGCCAGCAATTTTTTCCCCCCCCCCCCCCATCTTCATTTAAAGGAGAACGGTGACCTAACTTTTTTGGCCATAGTTCTCTTCAGGGTCACAGGCAGACATACACTAATGTCCTCATGACCCAAAACTCTGCATATAGCGGGCTATTGCCCACTATGTCGGGAGAGCACAAAACCACACTGCAGCCGGGACAGATCCCGACAATATTGACGGCATCCAACCTGCTGGCTGATTGCCAACTCGCTCTGCCTCTCTATAGCTGTGCCCGCCCCCTTCCCTGTCCATTCCTCCAGTCAGCACTGGAGAAATGCAGAAGGGAATCCCCCAGGGAGCCATGAATAGCAGGGAGAGGATCAGGAAGTCAGTGATTAGTGGTAGGTGTAGGTGTTCGCTGACTTTCAGATCAACAGACCCGACCTGTGACAACTTCAGTGTCACCGGTCGGCTTGAATTAAAGGATCAGTGTATTTCACTCACCTCATAGTTCTCCTTTAACAGGCTTTTAACTTTTCTTGTCCAGCAAAACTGGCAAATAGCGGGTTGAGACGGGGCAATTTTTTTGCCTTTACTTACAAAAACTGGTTTTCCACTTTCTGGTTGAGTGAGGCACTGGTGATGTAGTCCCGGCTACATCACAGATGCATCCTGGGCAAGCTACATCTCCAGTGCCTTCCTGGGAAATCTCATCTGTAACCTGCAAAATCTTGGGTGATCTCGGTGGAAAGGCCTTTCTCCCCCTGAGATGTTGTTGCATGTTCCAGGAGGCAGGCCCAGAGTTCCAGGAAGTAAAGGGAGATCAATTCATCTGCCCTTAGGGCCCGTTCACACAGGATGCATTCAGGCCGAGCTGGGCGGTTTTTCCAACTAGGCCCGAACACAAAACAAGGCAATTTGCCTGGTCACAGATAAGCATTGCAGAGGTGTGCCCTAAAAATAATTACATGCAGAACTTTTTTTTTTTTTTACTGAGCACCACAGTGAGACATGGAAGGACCGCACCATACCAGTGTGCCCATAGAACTTTATAAAATGTCATTTGTCACATTTCAATAAAGTTCTAACAAAAAAAACAGTGTGATGCATCTTGATCGAGCATGCGCACACACCAGCAGCCATGTGGTGTAGCGTGGCTGCTGGTGAGTACAAGCCCTTAGTGAATATGGCCACCGTGAGAACGGGGAGGAAAAGTGAAATAAGATATGTAAAGAATAAAAAGCTGCAATTATGTAGTAGTATGTGTTTGTAGATTGTATTCATTACTACACAGTTCTGGAGGGGCCTTTGTTGTCATTTTTAAGATAATGGTGAAGTGTTAGCTGGACTTTTATAATTAAAGGAGAACTATGAGGTGAGTGCTTTTCACGCGGATGCAGACATACCCTGTTTCCCCAAAAATAAGACCTACCCCGAAATTAAGACCTAGTATCATTTTTGGAAATCGATAAAATATAAGACCTACCCCAAAAATAAGACCTAGTTGTGATAATTCCCAGGGCCGGGAATAAGGGGGAACTTGAAGAGACGCGGGAGAGAATCAGCGGTGCCAACGAAGCCAGCGCTAGAGGAAGCGAGGCGGCACCCGAGGAAGCAGAGCCGCATAAGCTGATGTTTCCTCTATAGCGCCGGCTCCTGTCACAGGCGGAGTGATACCAAATGTACTCCGCCTGTGGAGGAACCGATAGTGAAAGTGCGCTTCGCTCATTCTGGTTACCAAATTGCTCTTGGAAAGGTATGGCACCCCTGATTGCCCTGATCACCCTATTCTTAACTTTGTCATTTTGGATAATTTAATTTGGATTTGCATTACCTTTGGATTGTTGTACATTAAAGAAAAAAAATAAGACCTACACCGAAAATAAGACCTAGTGTGTTTTATTGAGCAAAAAAAAATAAGACAGTGTCTTATTTTCGGGGAAACACGGTAATTGTCGGGATCCGCTTCTCAGGACAGCTGTCAGTCTAGCCCATCCAGTTGTTTCTCCTCCCCTACTGTGCCCCAGTTGTCCCCTCTCCGTGCCAGGGCCAACTCCCTATGCCCTCCTCTGGTGACCAGTCTACATGTGTCCACATTACTTCCTGCGCCCCGCCAGGTGAAGCCCCATCACCCCTTCCCTCCCGGGTGTTGATTTCCAGGGACACACATCCACTTCTCGGCCCTGAGCACCCCCACTGAGGGACCGGCACACCACAGCTGATGGCGGCCCACAGGGGACTGACAGCCTGGCAGGACCATTACCAGGGACCGCTCTTCCCGTCATCCGGCCCTCCTCCTCTCACCTTATTAGTGGGGACTGAGCGGAGCCGCTTGAAGATTGCGGCAATGTCCTGCTTATGGGGCTCACTCATCCTTCCGCCTCACCGATACACCGAACACTGCGAGGGCCACGTCAACAACCGCCGGCTACGTCACCGCTCCAAGCCCCGCCCACTACCGCACCACTCGGAGACCCGCCTTCTGTCTGAATCAGCGCTCAGCGACCCTCCCCCTGTCTGACAAAGTGCTCCGAGCCCCGCCCACTAAACCATCCCTCCGTCTGGTAAATTGCTCCGCCCACTGCCTCACAGCTACAAACCATTTGCCCCCTGCCTTTCCTTATACGCCACTCCAAGCCCCGCCCACTACATCATCGCACCAATAGCAGCCTTCTGTCTGACTCACCGCCACATACCTCAACGCTCCGAGACCCGCCCTCAGCCTGACTAGGAAGTTCGCCACTGTTACATGTATTTTTGCCCCGCCTCCATACAGACATTACGCAAAAGGACATCCTCGCTATCGCTCTAAGTCCCGCCCCCACACTGACTGCTACGTCGCCGCTTGGACTCTAACCTCTGATCACCTATGTCCTGCCTCCTGCTCGTCTCTTGGCCAAAAACCCTCTCGCTCCACTGGGTGAGTCCCGCCCCATACTGACTGAACGTCACACTATTCATGTGACGTCAGACAGGATGAGGACATCTAGTGGCGGAAAATAAGTACTGCACGGGAGAGCTCCGGGGTGAAGGTGAGTATTGCAGCCAAAACTTCATTCGTGGGGCTCATGAACGGGGGCGGGGGTCAAATACAGGCATATTGTCATATCCCCAGCCGCTGCGTTTCCTCCTGTCCATAGGAATGTATGGTTACAAAATGCTGTGCGTAAGTGTACATGTGTAAACACATGCTCATGGATCTAAGTTCCCGAATGCAGAACTTTTGCTTTCTGAAATTCAGGAGTCACGCTCCTCTGCATGTACGTGCCAGTACAGCCGTTTACATGCACACACCGGCGTGCAGCGTTTTCTGCCTCTACATTCCTATGGACAGAAAAAAAAAGCAGCCTAAAAAGTATTTTTATTTCTGTGTCCCCGTTGCAGATTTCCCCTCACTTCCTGTCTGGTAAAACGTTGTCAGCAGGACAGGAAGTGAGGGGATATCTCTCTAAGGTAGCAGTAAACACCTGATGGGGCTCATAATCCTTTCTCACTGAAAAGGTTTTGGGTGGACATAACATTTTTATTTCTTTTACATGTTTTTTTTTAATTGGCCCCAATGATGGCTACGTTATTATACCTGCCGCCCATTATTTGTTACAATAAGGTGTATGTGAAGGCACGATTTTGTAGTTTTGGATGGAGTGAGGGAACTCATGAACCCCTGTCAGGCTTTTATCGATATCTATGTTCTAGCTCGGAGAGGGAGTGATTCATCCTCTTTATTTGTCCTGGTGACTATGCTGCCGGGATGGACCCTTGATCTCTGTGAGGAAGCAGTGGTCTCTCTGCAGAAGTCTGACACGCCCCCTACTATGTCACACCTATAACCCTGTAACCAGCATAGCTCATGCGCCCCGCTGGCTGATTGGAGAGCTCTGACTCATCAGGGAGCACGGCAGACCTCTGCTTCCCCACAGAGATCAAAGGTCCTTCTCTGCAGCAGGGTGCAGGCCTTTCTACTCAGGCTGTGGCTGCTTTCTCAGGAAAATGAACTGTAAGGGTTTGTTCACACCAATTGTGGTGCGTTTCAGCGAGGTAGCTACTGGAACGCACTCTAATCGCACAATAAACTCCCTCCTTTTTCTGGGGTGGGAGGGGGCGTGGCGGTGCATTGAAGTCAATGGCACCGCAGCCATGCCCCCGGCCGAAGTGAGATGGTACGCGTGGCAAAACATTGCCTGCATTCCAGTCCAGTGCGAACGCAAAAAAATGCTGCTGCATACGCAATGTCAGCACACGCGTGCCTGACGTCATCACGCACAGGTGCACGATGACGCCGTGAGCATGCGCGGCCACCTTGGTGATGGATTCTGGCAGAAAGAGGAGAGGATCCATGACCGAGTGCCCGACTTTTCAGAGGGGTCACCCCTCCAATGGTGTCACCCAGGGGCGGGCCACACCCCCCTAGTGACGCCACTGGTCCTAAGACTTTGTACAACTATTCTTCTGATGCTCCTGGAATGTGGCGTGTGTTTGGCTTAAACCAGGGGCGCCCACTATTTTTCGTCTGGAGATCTACTTTTCAAATGACGAGCTCATTGAGATCTACCAACGAAAAAACACCTGCGTTCAGGGGCAGGAGGGGGCGTAGGCTGCGCAGGCAGGTCCCTCGCCCACACTGCGATCGCCTGCATTAGTGCCGGTGTTCCAGTGCAGTGCGATCCGCAAAAATGCTGCAAGCACTATTTTTGCAGATCGCACTGGACCGGAATGCAGGCACTAATTCCAGTACATTACATGTCCCGGCGTCCTGTCCTCCCGTGGTGCTCGTGTGGCCGACGTTGCACATGGGGTGTCCTGCACCTTTCCATCTGCAGCGTCTGACACATTCAGCCGGCAGCCGCACGAGCACCACGGGAGCATAGCCGTAGCCAGCTCCTTTTGCGCCTGAGGCAAGAAAAAAAACAACGTTTTTTAAATTTATTTTTTACTATTTTTTATTTTATTTTCATTATTTATTTTTATTTTCAATTATCATTTTTTTTTTTTACTCTTGGGGGGGCTTTGGGGAAATATTAGGGATCTAAAAAGACCCCTGATATTTCCCTTTTAAAATAGAAAAAGAAATTGAGGACATAAAGTCCTCAATCTTTTTTTCTGCAGCCTCTATTCTAAATGAATGGAAAGCACAGAGGCTTCCCATTCATTCAGAAAATATTTTACTATCGAGCTGTTTCTGCATGGGGAAGAGCCTCTGCACAGAGTGCTTCTCCCCATTGAGAAACTTATGAATGAACAGGAGGTGATGTAAATCACCTCCTGTTCATTCATTTATAACTGGGGACACATAGTATTATGTGTCCCCAGTTATTTACAAACACTGGAGTGATCAGACGATCCCTCCAGTGTTTGTCCTGCACAGAGGATTGGTACATACTACTGACATGTACCGATCCTCTGCCGCTCACTCGTCCACGCACAGGGGGCCTGCAACTTCTCTGGATCCCCCTGCCAGCGGGGGATACGACGAGCCGCGGGGGGGGGCGGAGCCGCTGTGACAGTACGGACGAGCAGTGAGGGGAGAGAGAGGCGCCGGCTGTCAGATCCTGGCCGAGCATCTCTCTCTCTCCTCACTGCTCTGCATTAGTTAGTGACAGCGGCTCCGTCCTCCGCCCTCCCCTGCCGCCGGTTCCTTCACTTCTTCTCGGATCCCCGCTGGGGAGAGCAGCGGGGATCCAGAGAAGCGGCGGGAGGAGAGGACATGGCGATCTACCAGTGATCGCTACGCGATCGACTGGTAGATCGCGATCGACCTTGTGGGCACCCCTGGCTTAAACTAAGAGTTGAGTGGAAAAATAAACAGATCCGCTGGCAGGATCAACAGGTATTAAAACTATGGAGGTTGCTGCCCATGGCAACCGATCAGCTTCTCTCTTTCATTTTGTTCAGTCGAGGTTTGAAAATGAAAGGTGCATGCTGATTGGTTGCCATGGACAACTGCTCCAGATTCTGTTTGCTCCAGTATAGATAAATTCCCCTTAATGTGATGGTGGGACTCAGAAAAAAAGACAAAAACTGCCGTGTCAGTGCCAGTGACAGACTGTATCATATATGTCATTTTTTATTTATTTTAATTTTTTCCCCCCAGAGTTCCACTTTAACAAGTACAAAGAGAATTCAATGGGGGCCCCAATGGCCCATTCTTCATCTGAAAATGATATTCTCCTGGCAGTCGTGGGGAATCCAAAGGTACTTTCAGAGTCCCTGACCAGGTACAAGTACGCAGTTCCCGATTCCTCTAACTTCACATGCTCGTTCCAGGGCTATGACCAGGACAGAGATGAGTCCAGGGGCAGCCGGGCGAAGAGCATTTTGGTCGCAAGGAAGTCATCAGTCCAGGGGCAGCCAGCTGAAGAGCATTTTGGTCGCAAGGAAGTCATCAATGACCAAGTGTCTCAGCGCAGGTTTCCCATCAATTGCAGTGCAGTTGACTCATTGGGGTCACTGTTTCCTTTGCGTGTGTTGACGATAAATTGTAGCCAGGTGATGTGACCACAAAGTCAGACTTCCTTCACTGGTTATATATACAATACACGAGAACAGTGATCACTACCACCACCATCATTCTGCACGGAGATGGGACTGCTAACACGACTGACGCTGCTGCTTACAGGTAACTAATTCACTTAGGGGTCTATTTATTTATTTATTTATTACAGGTATTTATAGAGCGCCATCAATTTATACAGCATCTCACATATTACACATTCACATCAGTCCCTGCCGTCATGGAGATTACAGTCTATGGTCCCTATCTCACATGCGTACATACACACACACATACATACTAGGACTGATATAGACAAGAGCCTATTAACCTACCAGCATGTCTTTGGAGTGTGGAAGCAAACCAGAGTACCCGGAGATTTATAAACAATTTCATTTGTCCTTCTTTTACTACTTTCTCCTTTAAATGTCCCCAGCAAGTGATTTTTCTTCAAGGGCAAAAACGTTGAATACCAGTGAATGTCACAATATGAAGAAACAACATATACAGGTGAAACTCGAATAATTAGAATATCGTGCAAAGTTCATTTATTTCACTAATGCAACTTAAAAGGTGAAAGTAATATATGAGATAGACTCATTTAATGTTACATTGTTCAAACACTAAATACAATGTTAACTGTGCAAAAATACTAAATAAAAGTGAATATTACACTGTGCAAACATACTAAATACGAGTGAATGTTAAACTGCAAAAATACTAAATACGAGTGAATGTTAAACTGCAAAAATACTAAATACGAGTGAATGTTACACAGTGCAAAAATACTAAATATGAGCGAATGTTCAATTCTGCAAAAATACTAAATACAAGTGAATGTTACACTGTGCAAAAATACTAAATACGAGTGAATGCTACACTGTGCAGAAATACTAAATACCAGTGAATGCTACACTGCGCAGAAATACTAAATACAAGTGAATGTTAAATTTTGCAAAAATACTAAATACGAGTGGATTTTACACTGTGCAAAACTACTAACAACAAGTGAATG